CTACTCCCGAAACTGGCGTAACATTGTATCTCAGAGGCGCGGGACACTATTTTACAACCCGCGTGATAGTGACCCAGAGGGAGCGAGCCGGCACCGCTCGGGACGGGGCTTGGAGCCGTGCTTGGAGATGAGCGCCGGCGGGATTCCGCGCGAGTCCGTGCCTGTCCACGTGAGTCCGTGCGAGCCCGTGGGAGTCCGCGCGAGTCCGCGGGAGTCCGTGCGAGCCCGCGCGAGTCCGTGCGAGTCCGTGGGAGTCCGCGGGAGTCCGTAGGAGTCCGTGCGTGCGAGTCTGCGGGAGTCCGTGCGAGTCCGTGCGAGTCCGTGGGAGTCCGCGGGAGTCCGTGCGAGTCCGCGGGAGTCCGTGCGAGTCCGCGGGAGTCCGTGCGAGTCCGTGCGAGTCCGCGGGAGCCCGCGGGAGTCCGTGCGAGTCCGCGGGAGTCCGTGCGAGTCCGCGGGAGTCCGCGGGAGTCCGTGCGAGTCCGCGGGAGTCCGCGGGAGTCCGCGGGAGTCCGCGGGAGTCCGTTGCGAGTCCCTGGATTCCTTTTGGTCGGTCTGTTGGGAGGCCGTGCAGTCAGTGCAGTCGCGGAGCCCGTTGGGAGTCCGTGGGAGTCCGCGGAGTCCGTGCGAGTCCGCGGGAGTCCCGTGCGAGTCTGCGGAGTCCGTGGCGAGTCCGTGGGAGGTCCGTGCAGTCCGCGGGAGTCCGTGGCGAGTTCTGCGGAGTCCGTCAGTCCGTGCGAGTCCGCGGGAGTCCGCGGGAGTCCGTGCGAGTCCGCGGGAGTCCGTGCGAGTCCGTGCGAGTCCGCGGGAGTCCGCGGGAGTCCTTGCGAGTCGGCGGGAGTCCGCGGGAGTCCGTGCGAGTCCGCGGGAGTCCGCGCGAGTCCGCGCGAGTCCGCGGGAGTCCGCGCGAGTCCGCGCGAGTCCGCGGGAGTCCGCGGGAGTCCGCGCGAGTCCGCGCGAGTCCGCGGGAGTCCGCGGAGTCCGTGCGAGTCCGATGCGATCTGCGGGAGTCCGGCGAGTCGCGATCCGCGGAGTCCGTGCAGCGGCGGTAGTCCGTGCGAGTCCGCGGAGTCCGTGCGAGTCTGTGGGAGTCCGCGGGAGTCCGTGCGAGTCGGCGGGAGTCCGCGGGAGTCCGTGCGAGTCCGTGGGAGTCCGCGGGAGTCCGTGCGAGTCCGCGGGAGTCCGTGCGAGTCCGTGCGAGTCCGCGGGAGCCCGTGGGAGTCCGCGGGAGTCCGCGGGAGTCCGTGCGAGTCCGTGGGAGTCCGTGCGAGTCCGCGGGAGTCCGTGCGAGTCGGCGGGAGTCCGTGCGAGTCCGCGGGAGTCCGTGCGAGTCTGTGGGAGTCCGCGGGAGTCCGTGCGAGTCGGCGGGAGTCCGCGGGAGTCCGTGCGAGTCCGTGGGAGTCCGCGGGAGTCCGTGCGAGTCGGCGGGAGTCTGCGGGAGTCCGTGGGAGTCCGCGGGAGTCCGCGGGAGTCCGTGCGAGTCCGCGGGAGTCCGTGCGAGTCCGCGGGAGTCCGTGGGAGTCCGCGGGAGTCCGTGCGAGTCCGCGGGAGTCCGTGCGAGTCCGCGGGAGCCCGCGCGAGTCCGTGCGAGTCCGCGGGAGCCCGTGCGAGTCCGTGGGAGTCCGCGGGAGTCCGTGCGAGTCCGCGGGGAGCCGTGCGAGTCCGGGCGAGTCCGCGGGAGCCCGTGGGAGTCCGCGGGAGTCCGCGGGAGTCCGTGCGAGTCCGTGGGAGTCCGTGCGAGTCCGCGGGAGTCCGTGCGAGTCTGTGGGAGTCCGTGCGAGTCCGTGCGAGTCCGCGGGAGCCCGTGGGAGTCCGTGCGAGTCCGCGGGAGTCCGTGCGAGTCCGCGGGAGTCCGTGCGAGTCTGCGGGAGTCCGTGCGAGTCCGTGCGAGTCCGCGGGAGCCCGTGCGAGTCTGCGGGAGTCCGTGGGAGTCCGCGGGAGTCCGTGCGAGTCCGCGGGAGTCCGCGGGAGTCCGTGCGAGTCGGCGGGAGTCCGCGGGAGTCCGTGCGAGTCGGCGGGAGTCTGCGGGAGTCCGTGCAAGTCTGTGGGAGTCCGCGGGAGTCCGTGCGAGTCTGTGGGAGTCCGTGCGAGTCCGTGCGAGTCCGCGGGAGTCCGTGGGAGTCCGTGCGAGTCCGTGGGAGTCCGTGGGAGTCCGTGGGAGTCCGTGGGAGTCGGCGGGAGTCCGCGGGAGTCCGCGGGAGTCCGTGAGCGCAAAGGAAGGAGCCTGAGCAGAGACCAGGGCAGCGGAGGGTGGAGGGCGGCCCAGCAGGAGGTGCGCTGCCCGGGACGGCAGGAAAGAGGAAGCCGGGGTCTGGGGGGCCAGCCTTGGAGGCCGGGGGCCCTGCAGAGAAGCTGGCCGATCTCAGGACACGCACAGTCGCTGCTGCCCACGCGGGACCTCGAAGGCCCCCGCCCAGGCTGCGGTGGGGATGAGGTCGGAGGCTGAGGGACCCTGTCTAAGAAGACGGAGTTCAGGGGGTGTGCCCGGCCCTGCTCACTGGAGCGCCACCCCAAGCCGGTGGACAGACAGGCCAGGGTTCTCTCCTTCCACCACGGCCTCCACGCCACCCCAGGCATCTCCGCGCCCCGGGTGTGGACCTCAGGCAGAACCGAACATCCCAGTACAGCAACCAGCAGAGCCAGGCTGTGTGGCTCCGTGGTTGAGCGTGGACCCTGCACCAGGACGTGCCGGTTCGATCCCCGGTCAGGGCACATGCCCAGGTTGTGGGCCCATCCCCAGTCGGGGGCATGCAGGAGGCGCCCAATCGATGTTCTCTCTCATCGATGTTTCCATCTCTCTTTCCCTCTCCCTTCCTCTCTCTTTAAAATCAATAAAGATTTAAAAAAAAAAAAAAAAAAAAAGTCCAGCGGAATCTGGACTTTGTCTCATGTCAAACCCTCCCGGGGGCCTGCCCAGGGAGAGGACAGCTCTCTTCCTCTCCTCCTCCCTCCCCTCCCAGCCCTTTGAATCTACCTCCCCCCCCCCCCCCCGCAGGGAAGAACAGGGACAGCTCCTGCCTGCTTTCCCAGGGGAGCCCTCACCGTGTGGCTCTCCGGAGGGCCCCACGGGGAGCATCCCCCACGCAGCAGTCGGGTGTGGGCACTGAGCGCTCTCCTTGGCCTCGTTCGACCCCTGAGCCCCGCCCACACTAGCTGAACCCACAGCCTCTCAGTACTGGGGTCCCCGACCTCGTGGTCCCTTGGGCTTGGAACCTCCAGATATTCGAAGGTCGACTTCCATCCAGGGTGCGCACCTGGCCCACAGGGAACACCAGGCTGAGTCAGGGCGAGGATGGTCCCTGCTGCCCTCTCTCCCTGCCCACCCTCCCCCTCACGATGGGCTGGGTCTTCAGAGATGCCCAGTCAAGGAAGGCATCGGCCTCCGTGTGCACGGGTCCCCCACTCCCACCCGGCTGGCTCTGTGCTTCCGCCCCTGAGAAGCCGTCGGCCAGGAGTCAGACACCAGCCTCCTCTTTGTGTAGGGACCCACGTCCATCCGGTCGTGTGAGGATTCCGCTGTGGCCCCTCTGGCTTGGGGGTGGGCTCCCTCCCTCCTCCTGGGTCCCCGCGAGGGGTGGGGTAAAGCCACAGCTCTGCCCTGAGTCACCCTTCCTCTCCTCACACCTCAACCTTCTGTAAAGGCTCAAGGGGATGTGCGGGGACAGAATCTGCCCATGACGTCCGTCAGTCCGGGTGGGCGCAGCTGGGACTTCCCGTCCAGAACATGGGGGGCTTCCTGGTCTCACCTCAGCACTTCAGCCGGAATTCTCAGACAAGAGGGAACCCCACTTCATGTCTGTTCCACGGGGGATGCTTGTAGCAGACTCCCCCAACCTCAGCACTGTTCCACGTGAGGTAGACATGTTTTGGGGAGCTGTCCCGCATGTGCACCTTCCATGACCTCTACCCCGGGCATCTCCCCCAAGTGAGACATCTTCAGACACGGCTACACCTTCGGGGGCAGGAGGTGGGGACAGAGCTGCCCCCTGGTGAGCACCCCTGCCTAACAGACAGAGGAGTCACCGCAAGTCCTTGGAGCAAGGAAACAACCTAAGATCATAATCACGTCGCACATGCTGGCTTTGCTGCAGGGTAGGAACAGCTGAGGTCAAGGCCGAGCCATGTCCACTGTGCAGGCGACATTTGTAAATGCTCCTTCCCAGCAAAGTTCTGTCGGAACCTCATCTGTTCCCACAGCCGCCACCTGAGAAAGGAAGGAGCCACGCGTCACTGGGGAGCAGGGGACGGAGCTCAGGCCCGCGCACCTGCTGAGCCCGGAGCCCGGATCCTGCACCGGGCGGGGCGGCTCGGGCGGAGCTGGGTCACTGGCTGTGGGTAGACAGGTCCCACCTCCAGGAGCTCACCACCCCGACAGCAGGGCTCCGAGGGCAAGGAGCGGGGAGGTCTCTCCTGTTCCCCTTTCAGACAGGCGGCGTGGGTTAGGTGACCATGGAAAGCGAAGTTGGCGGACTCCGGGCTTTCTGCTCTTGCTGCCGGTCCTGACGGACACGCCATTCTTCAGTCACTGCATCTCGCCAACCCCCAGGACCCGAGAACCGTCCCCATCAGACCATCTTTTCTGGTCGGTGTGCTCAGTGCCCGGCCCCCTGCCCCCACTCTGGACAAGGCTTTCTGCTTAACAGTCTTAGGAGGAAACAACAGCAAACTAACACAAATCCCAGCTGACCCTGAAACCTGTTTGCGCCCAGTCCCTCCAGGGCTGCCTCAGGGCCCAGCCCACCCCCGACCCCGGGACCTGCCCCCGCCTCTGGGGTGACTTGGCAGCACCGCGGAGATCGGTCTGTTGCTCCATTATTCACCCATTTGCTTTCCCTGGATAATCATGCAAACCAGTCATCTGTACAGAGGCTGGGCCAGTTTTCCCAAGAACTTCCAGAAAGATCCCCAACCCTTAGAAAGCCAAGAGGGAGTCCTGTCACATCCATACAAAACTCCACCAGAAGTCTCGTGTGTAGAAAGGTTTCTTTATTAGAAGCATCACATTCTGAGAACAGGAAGGGGCGGGGGGAGGCCGCGGAGGAACGTGGGCCGGGCGGGGCCCGCACACACCTGCCCCGAGCTCTCCGGGAGCAGGCTGCGGCGGGGGGCTCAGGTGACCTGCAGCGGGGTCTCCAGCATCTCCATGAGGAAGGTGTCGATGGGCGTGTCCCCGATGAGCTTGAAGAAGAAGAGGTGCTCCAGGCACTTGAGGCCGATGGAGCGCAGGGCCGGCAGGCGCAGCAGCAGCTTGGCGAACCTGCGGGGAAGCCCGGGGGGTCAGCACCCCCGCACAGTGCGGGCGGCGGTTCGGCGGACTCTCTCTGATGGAACCGGGAGCCTGGGGAGGACGAGGGAGTCAGAGAACCTAACTCTAGGGAGCGTCCGAAACGCTGGAGGGCCACTTATCTTATTTATTTTTTTTAAATCCTCACCGGAGGACATCTTTCCACTTTTTGTTCAGGTAGAGTGGGAGGGAGAGAGAGAGAGAGAGAAACATCGACATGAAAGGGACACACCGAGTGGCTGCCACCGGCACGACCGACCAGGGCCGGGGACAAACTGCAACCGAGGTACGTGCCCTTAGCGGGAACCGAACCCCGGTCTCTCCGGACCGCAGGCCGACGCTCTAACCGCTGAGCCAAACCGGCCAGGGCCTACTTATCTTCTTAAAGGGGGCAATCGGACCGTGTGACCTTCAGGACACTTCTGATGGGAAGCGTTCACGTGGGAATTTTAACATTCCTTCAAAACACATATGTTTCTGTGTTCAGGCCACAAGGAAACGTGTCAGTGTAGGACTAGGACCTCGCAGCTAACAGGGCAGCAGCTACTCACCCCACGGAAAACCGAGGTCCACACGGAGCCTGGCAAACCTCCTCTGAGTGCCCCGAGCGAGCGGTCGGCGGCGGGCGGGGACCGTGAGACCAGGGGCCGGAAGTTGAGCACCTCCACTCCCCCCGGCTCTGCCTCGAGGGGTGTACGGAATTCGGCAAAGGAAGTGGCTTCTCTACAAAGTGCAAAGTTAGACTAACTCTGGAAGTATTTTTCTTTACTCTAAAAATTCCAGTGTTGCAGTTTGTAGAACGATGAGTATACGGTACTGCGGCCCCCTTTGCCGTCTGTCCCGGCCTTCGGAGCTGAGATCTGGACTCGGTCACAGGCACAGCCAGGCCAGGGCCGTCGCTGTCCCCACCCTCCAGAGTCTGGCCAGAGAGCGAGCGCAGCCCTGTGACGTGTTTTCTGAAAAGTGTCCACAGGGTGGCAGCACTCCACCACCGAGAACCGGGCCTCACGCCACAGGCCGGAGGCCCGTCACCAGACTTCTGCAAACCAGAGGGGACTTAAGCGCTTACCACCTGGCTGAGCCCAGGGACATCCCTGAAGGAGCTGCTCGGCCTCGGGTAGTCGCCCTGTGTGGCCACCCCCACGGGACATGCAGGAGGCCCAGCCTCTGCACCCCTCCCTGAACTCCCAGACTCGGTCCTCACCCAGGCAACAGGTACAGCATCTCCTCCCAGTACCCAGAGGCACAGGCCCCCGGCAGCACCTCCCAGGGACAACAGGCAAGTTCCAAAATGTGAAAGTGATAGTCATTAGAAACCACCTCAGTGCCAACCCAGGGCAATGACTAAATACGTTAGGACACATCCGCTCTGTGACGTTCTACAAAACCATGGGAAACAGCCGTGTCGTATTCTTCGATGCCTGGTACGGTGCCTGAACCGGCTAAGGGGAGAGCGCTCCCCACGCTGCGTTACTGCATAGCCGTAAATACCCATTTCCACGTCCACACCGGAACGGGAACAAAATGGACCCCAAAGATTCACAACTAATTTTCAGTACCTGCTTCATGTTTTAAAAATAGTTTCCTTGCTTCCTACCAGGATGCCCTGTTTTTATAATAAGGAAAGAGAGAGGTTTGGTTTGGGGGGTTTTAATTGGATTCTTCTTCTTCTTCTTGTTATTATTTGGTTTGTTGTCTGGTTTGTTTTAGATACACAGCATGATCAAAAGCCAATTCCCAAACACGCTGAGGATGAGCTTTCTTATCCCTAACACCCCACACACCATATATTCTTAAAAACAGAAAGACAGAAAGAACCCCAAAAGCATGCTGGGGATGCCTCGGAGCTGGGCGGTCCGGCAGAAATCACCCGACGGGCTCGTCAGCTCCGGGGGGCGGGGCTGAGCGGCGCAGGCGGCCCAGCCCGAGGGGCGGGCAGAGTTCTTCAGTCTCACCTGCTGCAGGTGGAGAGGAGACCGCGTCCCGCAGGGCACACGGTTGCTGCATAAGACAGGCTCCTGGGGGCCATGTGACAAAGCTCCAGCTAACGGAAGTGAATGAAAAGGGGGGTCCTTTCCAGGTGCGGGTGTTGCCCACATAAACTCACCATCCTCTGGATGCAAAACACCCGTGGCCCTGGGACATGAGGGAGCTCAAGAAGGAAGGAGCCTGGGCCCCTGAGTGACATGTGGAGACAGTCCCTTTCCTGACTCATCGCCCACCAGGGCCAGTCCATGAGCAGGAAGCGCGTTACTGTGCTCAATGCGAACGTCTGGGAGGTCTCACTCGCCCCAGCACCCCACTGTACCCACAGGGTTGGTCCACAGCCTCCCATGGAAACGGCTCAGCTTCTCCCCAGTGGATAGGAATTGGCTCATGACCCAGGAAAACGGCTCAGCGGACATCAGCCCTCAGGGAGGAACAGTGGTCGTGGGAGAACTGAGAGCCTAGACAACTAATGCTAAAAACAAAGTCCCATTAGCCTTCAAGGCAGTTTTTCAAGTTTCATTTTCCTTTTTCTATGAGATTTGGGGTTGTATTCTCTCTTCTTCAGGGAGCTGCAGGGACGGGAGCGTCATTTAGCTGTGCTTGGGGGCAGCAGTTGAGAGAAGGATTCTTTTAGCGACCTGGGAAGACCTGTGCGGGAGCCGCTGCCAGCCAGCATCTCCCCTCCCCCACAGGAGCCCAGACTCAGACCAGCGCCCACCCGGAGGCCACACCGATGGCAGCCCGGGGCCAAGGTCACCTCTGCTGGCTACCAAAGCCTTCTCCTGCAGGGGCTCCTGGGTGCAGGGCCAGTCCTTCGGAACCACAGACCTGGGCTCCTGTCCTGGCCCCACCGGCTCCGAGACCCTGCACTGACTCCTGACCTTTGCTAAGCTCCGGCCTCATCAGCATCTGGAGGTGATGAGACCCACCCTGGTCGTTCACCGGCTTGTCTGTCCAGCGCTTCAGGCCGAGACGCGACCTCTCCCCGGAGCCCACCCGCGTGGCCGCCGCGAGGTCCCACCTGGGAGCAGTGGGCAGGGCCTCCGCAGCACCACCGTCAAGCTCACCTGCCTGGCTGATCCGGGTACTTCCGCTTGGTGTAGGCCTCCAGGGTGGCGTACACCCTCTCCCGCAGGGTCTCCACCTCCGAGGGGTTGGACAGGCCCTTGGCATCTGGAAGAGACGACCTACTTGACCTCCGGCGCCAGCTTCGGTGGGTGTCCCCACCCACGCCGCCAGCTCCCGGGGGCGAGGGCCCGCTGACTCCCAGGAGGGCCCATCTGTCCGGGCCACCGGAGAAATAGTCCCTTCTGCGCGCCCCCTGTGCGGGCGGACGGAGCGAGGCGGCGGCGCAAAGCCGGCGGGCAGGTCCCGCGTCAGTGAACCGGCTCCGACTGCAGACGGGGCGGGCGAGCGACTGAGCGCGGGGTCCCGGCGCTGCTCCCCCGGACCCGGGGCGGCAGAGGAGGCCGCCCGCCTGCTCCTGGCCGGCTCCTGGCCGGCTCCCTCCGCTGCCTGCAGGACACCACTGCCTGGTCCCTGCTCGGGTCCTTCCTGAACCTTCCTTCCCAGCCCCCGGGTTGGCCAGCCCTCGGCCGGCCTTCCCGACTCCAGGGTGCGCTCGCCCTCCCCCCTGTCCTGCGGGCGTCGTGCCCCCTGCCCCCGCGCTCCGGCCCCTCCGAGCCCCTGCCCTGCCCGCAGCTCGGACCTGGCGTCCACAGCAAAGTCCTGCTTCCCGCTCGGCCACCCTGGCGGCCCCACCAAACCCCGGGGGCTTCTGGGTTTAGCCTCTTCCTTTCACTTGGGCTCGTCTCTCTAACCCATCAGCAGGTCCCTGGCTTTGCCCAAAACTCCGTGCAGAATCCAACCGCTGCGACCGCCTCCCTCGCCACTACCCACTGCCTTCCCTCGTCTTCCCCACCGGCCCTCAACCACCCACACCCCTTGCCCACTCAGGACTTTCCGAGATGGCGCCGGGGGAGGCCAGGGGGAGCCGGCCCTGGGGCCGAGGTGGCGGGCCCCCCGGGGGAGGGGGTGACTGCGCCGTCACCTGGGTTGAACAGCACGATGGCCCGCAGGCACCCCAGCTCCGACTTGTCCATCTGCATGTCTTTCATTTTGGAGACCAGCTCAGTCAGGACCCTGTTCAGGGGAGACAGTGACAGGTGAGGAGCCCGTGGGAACACAAGCCACCGGCCGATCGAACGCACGCGGCCAATACTCATCAGGCACCTGCCCACTTCCCGACCGGGCGCCGGGTGCAAGGGGCACGGAGCTCAGCGTTTCATCGGAGAAAGGACAACGGCCGGCCATGAGCAAAGCCCAAGGGGACCTGGGCGGGGAGGGGAGCAGTGGACGCTGAGGGCCGGAGGCCACCCAGAGGGTCAGGAAACTAGTCCAGACGGAGCAGGACAAGCAGGGCGAGGGCACTGCCCGTCCAGGAACGCAGCAGGGACGGCGGCCAGGAGAAACAGGCACCGTGAGGAGGGCAGGGCCGCTGGAGGGCAGGACAGAGGGCAGACACCAGGTGGGCAGGCATGCGGCCCTGGGACACCAGGTGTGATAGGGCTGGGGAGGGGCCTCGGGCCCTGGCCTTGGACAGAGACCAGCTTCAACCTCACCCTGCTCCTCCCGTCTCCATCCGCTCACCGAGCCCCCCACCTCCACTCGGCTCGTCCACCCCTTAACCCCATGCCTGGCTCTCCTTCAGCAACTCTTCAGGGCAGAACCCCATGCTGAGGCTGCTCCCCCCTGACCAGGGGTCCTGCCAGAGGCCAGCAGAACCTCAGCCTGGACTCCTCGGGTCGGGTCCTGGTACCTCCTGCCGTCCCTGCCCCCAGGGGGAACAGTTCACCCCCCACCCCAGCTTACTAGGTCTTGTCTACAACCCCGTCTGTTCTCAGGAAGCCCACAGGGCCCCCGGGCCCCCCGTCTGCCCAGCCGCTACACTGGCCTCTGCTCCGCCTGGGCCCTCAGCCTTTCCCCTAACCCCGCCTCGTTCTCCGGGCTTATATTCTCATCCGCTCCGTGGTCTCGCTTCCAGGCATGGGCGGCTGTGCATCCCACACCTCGTCACTACCCACCGTCCACGCACACACATGCACACACAGGGGCGCGCACGTGCACACTGCAAGCAGAAGAGAGACCTGTCGAAGATGGAGCCCACGCCTGCACTGTGGGCGCTGCTCCTGTGGACGTGCAGACCCGTGGCCAGCAGGATGCCGTCCTGCACGGACACCGAGCGGTGGGAGAAGGAGGCGATCAGAAGCTCGTTCCACCCTGCGGGGCGAGAGGGGGCCTTGAGGGCGCGCCGACCAGTCTGGCTTTGATGCTCGGACAGCCCCCGTCATGAATGCCAGGGGACAGAAGCAGAAGTCCAGGGAGGTGGGACATATTCTAGACACCACCACGCGTGAGCAAAGAAACAAAGGATGCGACCGCCCCCCGACGTGGGCCGGGGCACCCCCCTCCCCCCGCAGCCCAGAGCACAGCTGGAGGACAATCAACAAATACGGACGGAACATGTAATGGTGACAGTCACTGTAGCAGCCGCGGTGAAGAAAGCGAGCAGACCTAGTCTCTGCCCCCCACCCCGGACCTGACCACCTAGTTTCATGTCTGCAGCAGCGTCTGGGGGCGCCCGGCACAGTGCGGAGCCCTCGGCCGACACCTGCTGCTTGCGCGTTACCTAACAGGGGTGCAGTAGGTCGCTGGCTCCCGGGGCTCAGCCCATCTTGGTGAGGTCCTCCTGTGGGCTCAGTGACCAGGAGGACACCGGGCAGACGCTGCAGTGCCACGCCCCAGAAACGGGAGCCGACAGAGGACACAGCACAAAGAATCTCAAAGCAGAAAGGGGCCCTGGCCTGCGGCTCCCGGCCCCTCCCTGTGCAGTGGGAATCTCTCTGCGTTCAATGTCACACCACCCGGGAGGCACAGTTTCAGATGGGCCTCAACCACAAGGAGTGTCTTTGAAAGTGAGACACAGAAGCCACGGTGAAATTCTCACAGGAATCTCCGTCGGCAAAGGGCGTCTCACGGGGGGGAGAGCGTTTGGGGAGGGCCGTCCGAATAACAGAAAACCACCACCCTGGACTGTCATCCTGCCGGCAACGAGGCGCAGTGTGGGTGGGTTAGGGCTCCTCCCGGCCCCTCGTTTCGGGATCCCGGGGGAACTCCAGGTGACGGTCCCCAGAAGCAGCGAGCGGCTCTACCTGCCCGGAGCAGGATGACCTGGTCCTCCAAGCTGAGGTCAGAGAAGTGGGGGATGCGCTTGGCCCACTCGACGAGGGTGAACAGCTGCTTATCGGCCGCGTGGCAGATGTTGGTGACGGGGTCATTCGTCTGAAACGGACCAGCGCTCAGGGCAGATGCTGGGACCCTAGCACACCCTCCCCCAGCTCCAGCCGCACCCAGGAAGCGGGAGAGGGAGGCCGGCCTGGGGCCGCCTACCGAGTTCTCCACGGTCATGTCGCCGTAGGACTCTGTCTTTGGCTCCACGGCCAGCTCGGCCTCCAGGATCCTCTCCACGGGCATGTCCTCGTGGCCCGCACCGGCACACTCCGCCTCGCTCTCCGCCCGCTCCCGGCCCCGCTGCCGCTCCTCCTGGACAGCTGCACAGAGGACATGCAGACGTCACCACGGCCCGGGACAGCGGGGGGGGGGCGGCCTGAGCCCCCTCGTGGGTGCAGTGGGCATCCCCTGGTGCTGAATCGGGGTGCCGTGAAGCTGATGAAACAGAAAACTGTGGGGTCCTGAACCCACACTCTCCCGGTCTGTCACGGCGACAATTCTAAGTTTGCCTTGGAAGCTCTCATAATCTCCGACTCTGCCCCTCTCGGCACGAGCTGCTCTCTGCTGTCCCCCTGGTCCCCCTGCTCCCCCGGCTGCTCCCTAGCACACCCTGAGAACGCAGTGGTCACTGGCAGGCCCTCCTCCTGCCCATCAGGCCCCCTGCATCATCCTTGGCATTTGCATCCCGTGAGCTCTGCCCTCAGCCCAGCAGCCTGGACACAGGTCACCTGACCTGTGCATCAGGGATGTTCTTCAGGGTATTTCACAGGTGAAGGGGTGGAGGGAACCCGAGGCTGATTCGGGGGTGGGAAGGGAACATGGGCAAAACGATGCTGCCGTGGTCCCACCTCCCCACACTGAAAATTCCACCAGGTGTTTCACAGCCATCCGAACCCCCAGCTCTGTCCCTCCGGATGGCAGGCAGACCCCCCCCCAGCTCTGTACCTCCAGACGGCAGGCAGACCCTCCCCCGCAGACCCCCTGGCTCTGTCCCTCCAGACTGCAGGCAGAACCCCCCCCAGCTCTGTCCCTCCAGACTGCAGGCAGACCCCCCAGCTCTGTCCCTCCAGACAGCAGGCAGACCCCCCCCCCAGCTCTGTCCCTCCAGACAGCAGGCAGACCCTCCCCGCAGACCCCCTGGCTCTGTCCCTCCCCACAGCTTCTGCAGAGGTCGTTTCCATCCCCAGAAGCTCTGGTCTCCCCTCCTCACTCCCAGCCGCAGCAGAGCTCCAGATCAGCACACACATTTTAAATCCCAAAATCCAGAAAATGACCCTCCAAACTGGTGGCTAACGTGGAACCCAGAGACAGCCACCCACTGGCCACTCCGACCTCTCAGCTCCCCCCTTCCTCCCACTATCCGTGCCCCAAGCTCCTCCTCTCCGGGGGGCTGGCACCCCCAAAGGCTGCAGGATGCGCTGGCCAAGGGCAGGGCCTCTGGCTGATCGTACAAGCGAGATCACTCGTCTCGAAGGGACAGACGACAAAGCCGGGTGAGAAAAAGAAGAGACGAGGGAGAAAGGAGAGAGGAGAGAGAAGAAAACCAGTGCTTGGGGGTCAAAGCAATCTTGTTCCACTGGCCTCTCCCAGCTCAGCGACATCGGACACATCCCCTAGCCTACCAAGCCTCAGTTTCCCTGCATGGGAGGGGGGAACTATGGTGCTTGGCTGAGATTGTCTTGTGAGGATTAAATGAAATAATTATAAAAAGTTCACAACTGGTGGTTATTTCCCCATCCCTTATCTCTCTCCACGCTCCTGGGCTTCCGTCGGGTCCCCGTCTCCCGAGGGGCCCTTCCGCTCCTTCCTGCCCCCGCCATCCCTCATTCACTGACAGCACACAGCAGACCTCACACGAAATTATCAGTTGCATTTACTGGTTACAGTTGCACCTGTCTCCTATCACTTCGAAGGTGGGTTAATGGGCTTCCATTTGTCTTGCTTCTAAAAGCTGGGAAGCAAGCACCTGCTGACCTGCCGTAACTGGAGAGAGGTTCCGGTTAGAAGTGCAGGGCGGGGTCTCCCTGAGGGGGGCGGTCCCACAGACCTCGAGGGCACCCATCTCGGGATCTGCAGCCGTCAAGCTTATGAGGGCGCAGTGTGGAGTCGGCAGGTTTCCCAGGGGAGACGCCAGCTGCACCCCAGTGGCCAGCTGTCCCTGTGTGGGGAGGGTGCCAGGCCCCTGGCACCTGGGCTCAGGTCTGCGCTCTGGCATTGGAAGGGTCCTGACCACGCCCGGCACCTGAGCACCAGGACAGGAAGGATGGACACAGGTGGATGTGGGGCAGGAACTGCTCCACCTCCTTGGCAGCAGACACCGTCCCGCGCAACACGAGACCCCGGGGTCCCCCGCCTCTGTCCTCTGTGCGGCTGGGGGGCGGCCTACCTTCGCGCTTCATGCCCATCACCAGGCACTTCTGGTAGCGGCAGTACTGGCAGCGGTTCCGCTGGCGCTTGTCGATCAGGCAGGCCTTGTTGTCCCGGCAGGTGTACAGCAGGTCCTTGCGGATGGTGCGCTTGAAGAAGCCCTTGCAGCCCTCGCAGCTGTACACGCCGTAGTGCTTGCCTGCGGGAGAGCACGCGCCGTCCGCCTCCGCTGGCCTTTCCTCCGGACCACCCCCGGCCCCCGACCTCCCAGGACCCCGGAGCATCACCCGGCAGAAAGCAGCGAACCACCTGCGAGGAGGCAGCGGGCCCGCGCAGGGCTGCGGCCCGCGCACCGCCATTCCCGGGCGGGGGTGCGGGGGTCCCGTGCGGGGTTCCCGTGCGGGGGTTCCCGGGCGGGGGTGCGGGGGTCCCCGGGCGGGGGTCCTGGAGCGCGCTTAGAAAAGCCCCGGCTGAGGTTTTGTTTACGTTTATTTCTCTAAGCGCCTCTTGTCTTGAGGTGCACAGTGTTCCGCCACCACCCGGCACATCAGCGGACTTAACAAGAATATGTACGCTGGCTGCAGGTGATCGAGCCGGACAGACCCCCGCTTCACTGGTGTCTCCCCGCAGCTGAGGCCAAAGGCTTAGGAACCCCCGTGAAAGGACCCTCCCTCCCTAGGAACTAGGAGCAGCCTCTGACTGAGGGATCTGTTCGAAGCTATTGCCAGGTGGAGAAACCAGTCGGTACCCCGTCTTCCAGCGCTGACGGGGCCCTGGGCTCCGAGCAAAGATCTGCTGGAAGGTGATTTTGCTGGACCCAGAATAACCTCTCACATTTCAGTTCCGCGTTCAGTGTCCAAAGGCCCCAGCCAGGGACAGCACGTTTGTGCGCAGAGAGCTAGCACCCCGCCCCCCCCCCCGGCGTCCAGCCCCCCCGCCCCCCCCGGGCGTCTAGCGCCCCCGCCAACCGAGGAGTCCAGCGCCCCCGTCCCACCTGGGCGTCCAGCGCCCCCGCCCACCGAGGAGTCCAGCTCCCCGGCCCACCTGGGCGTCCAGCGCCCCCCTCACCCGGGCGTCCAGCTCTTTGCCCCACCGAGGAGTCCAGCTCCCCGGCCCACCTGGGCGCCCAGCGGCCCCCCCCCCACCGGCCCGGCGTCCAGCGCAATCACAGCGCTTTCTAAGTCTTTCCCTCTCCACCCGCCAGGCAGCCCAGCCGACTGAGTGGAGCTGTGGGACATGAAAAACGGAGGGCCCAGGCCGGGGCGCAGGGGTTAGAGGGCCCAGGGTTGTGGGTTCATCCCCAGTCGGGGCACGTACAAGAGTCAAGGGAGGGATGCATGCCTGAGAGAGCAGCAACTCTCTCTCCTTCTCCCTTCCTCCTTCTGCTCTCTCTCCCTCAAAAAATAAAATTAAAAATAAGCAATCAATAAAAAAATTAAACAAGGAAAAATATGAGGAAACAGATCGTTCCAAACATACTTGTGCCTGAGTCCTGGGTGGAATTTGTGATGCTGTTTCGCTGCAGACCCAGCATGACTGTTGGAGGCTGATAGCAAAGTGATTTGAGTTCCTGAGAACAAGCCAGTGTCAATATCGGCCCGAGGACCTCACACTTAGAGATGAAACGGGCCCGGAGGAGCTGCCCCGAGAGAAGTCCGTGTGTCTAACCCGCTGACTCGAAGCACTGAACTCACGTGGATTATACACGCGAGGTTCTACCTTGGGCGCAGAGAGCCCGGCGTGCTCCGCCCTGCGGTGTCTGTCTTTGGGGAACGCGGGACCTTTGTCACCCCTGTGGCCCTTCAACACATGAACCACCCTCCCAGACTCGCAGCTAAACCACAGCCCAGGAGACTCCCCATCAGGGCGGGGCTGGCATTCCGTTGCCACAGCGACGGCCACGGGTGGTGATGTGACAACACCCCAACCGCAGCCCTGCCGCTGAGAGGGTTCTAGGAACTTTCCACCGGTGGTACACCTTGTGGTTTTGGTGACAAAAGACGAGGAAATATTCCGCCAGGCCTCAGGGACTGCTATGGGATAGGACCTTCCCCAAGTTCTATCCCTCAGATCGGACAGGCAATGTCTTCAAAGCCGGTGGGGTGGGGTCTGGCCCGTGTGGCTCAGTGGTTGAGCGTCGACCCTGCACCAAGAGGTCTCCGGTTCGATTCCCAGTCAGGGCACATGCCCGGGTTGTGGGCCTGATCCCCAGTGGGGGGCGTGCAGGAGGCACCCAGTTGATGTTCTCTCTCATCACTGTTTCTACCTCTCTCTCCCTCTCCCTTCCTCTCTCTCTAAAATCAATAAAGGAAAAAAATAAATTTCAAAGAAAAAAAAAACCACTGGTGGGGGGGGCAGGGCAGAAAGAACAGGGAGAACTGGACACGGGCAACAGAGAGATGATAGGGGCAGGGCCGGGAGGTGGACGGGGTACAGGGGATACATGTGATCGAAAAAAGATAATAAAGAAGAAACGGGGTCAGGAAAGGAATAACTGGGGAAAAAGTGGTAGAGACTCGAAGAAGATGAAGCTGAGAGAACTCACTTAAATTCACCATGAAAACATATTAAAACCCTAGGACATTATAGAAAAAAATGTGCTAAAATTCTAAAGAAATCATCTTTGTTGGGAACATTGTGGATTTTTTTTTTTTTTAAGTTTCTTTCATGCTTCTCTAGTTCTTCCACATGTTCTACATCAGGACATCATTTATAGCTAGCAAATCACAGCAAGGTCTCTACCCCAGTTACACTCCCCACTCGGGATCTCCAGCGGGGGGAGACGGGGGTTCTGGAAGGCTCCCTGAGGCCATGTTTTATTTATTTATTTATTTTTTTTATCCTCACCTGAGGACATTTTTCCATTTTTTGTACAGATAGAGTGGGAGGGAGAGAGAGGAAGGGAGAGAGAGAGAGAAACATCGACGTGAAGGGACACATCGAGTGGCTGCCACCGCACGACCAACCAGGGCCGGGGACAAACTGCAACCGAAGTACATGCCCTTAGCGGGAACCGAACCCGGGTCTCTCAGGACCGCAGGCCAACGCTCTAACCGCTGAGCCAAACCGGCCAGGGCCCTGAGGCCATGTTTTAAATCCTTCAAGACTGCAGACTGTGCTCCCCGGAACCGACCTTTACAGCCAGGGCCTGAGCTGGGCCATCCTGACGGGTCTTCCATCGCGGACCAAGTCCCAGCTGGGACACCTCTGGCCAGGACACTGGGAGGGACTTCTGCACATACCTGAGGACCTGTCCCCACAGATGGCACAGATGTGTTTAACCAGAGACCCGGGGCTGGTGGACGGGTAGTTCATGCTTCCGATCCCGGGAAGCCCGGGTAGGGGCTTGATGTCCTCTGAAATGCTGACTCCGTTGACCACATTGAGCTGCAAGAGAGAAATCACAGTGAAAGGCGGAGCCAGTGAGCGCAGCCCGAGGTCGAAAGCTCGGGGCGTCTCCAGGAAAGCACCAGGTCCGTTTCCAGAAGTAGTTTCCAAGCAGAGAGGGAACAGTCCTGTGTGCCATGTCCGTCCGGGGAGGGAACAGTCCCGTGTGCCATGTCCGTCCAGGGAGGGAACAGTCCTGTGCGCCATGTCCGTCCGGGGAGGGAACAGTCCCGTGTGCCATGTCCGTCCGGGGAGGGAACGGCGCCCGTGTGCCATGTCCGTCCAGGGAGGGAACAGTCCCGTGTGCCATGTCCGTCCGGGGAGGGAACGGCGCCCGTGTGCCATGTCCGTCCGGGGAGGGAACAGTCCCGTGTGCCATGTCCGTCCGGGGAGGGAACGGCGCCCGTGCGCCATGTCCGTCCGGGGAGGGAACAGTCCCGTGCGCCATGTCCGTCCGGGGAGGGAACAGTCCCGTGTGCCATGTCCGTCCGGGGAGGGAACGGCGCCCGTGTGCCATGTCCGTCCGGGGAGGGAACGGCGCCCGTGTGCCATGTCAGTCCGGGGAGAGAAGTGCCCGTGTGCCATGTCAGTCCGGGGAGAGAAGTGCCCGTGTACCATGTCCGTCCGGGGAGGGAACGGCGCCCGTGTGCCATGTCCGTCCGGGGAGGGAACAGTGGGCGGAAGAACTGATCATTTCTAAAGGCCAAAGCCCATCCTGAAAAGCCCAGTCCCCACATGTCCGCTTTGCCTCGGGGACGCGTGTGGTCTGAGCCAGAGGTCCGCACAGCAGGGTGCCCGGGGCACGAGTCCGCGGTGCAAGGTCTAAATTTCACACGAGGTACTGACTTTACTCCAGGGGAGCACGGCCCTCAGGCTGACCCAAGAGAAACCGTGTACGCACTTCGTTTGGTCGGCCAGCAGCCGGCTGGAGCACCAGGTACATCAAGCAGGAGAGAAGACACGTGAATGGTCATCTCCAGGGGCCCCTGAGGATGCGGAACCAACTGCCCAAATGCACCAAAAATAGGGCAAAAAGCCCCAAATTATGTTTTTGAAGCGACAATTGATACAAAATTGTACCCGTGACAGTACAAAATCTGTGGAGCCAGAGATGGTCGGCTCTGTCCTCCAGCTACTGCTGTGGTCCTGGCACGTGCTGGGGAGCCGGCCCATGTGGGCATCTGAACACCCGAACCTTGTGTGCGCCCGCCCCCTCCCCCACCACGGTCAGCATCAGCTCCCTGTCACCCCGCCCCATGTCCCCTGTGCTCTTGGGGAGATGTCACTGCTGAGGGGTTTGTGTTCTTCCAAGAAGACAGGTGAGCAGAAGGCCACCAGCAATGCAGATGGGAGGTCTGCCCCGTGTTCCCCACAAAGGCGCAATCTCCTCAGGAGTGGGGAGGAGTCGGGATAAGCAGGGAACTGGGGACACGCCCAGGAAAACTCAGGCGAAGGGGCAGGGCAGGGCGTGAGGTGCGTGGGGGGGGGGGGGCAGCTGCTGAGCACCAGGGCGGAGGGAGGCCCCTGACCTCTGTGTGGTCCCTGTGAACAGGGGGTCATATCACCTGGCCCACACGACCTTAATTCTCACCCCGAATCGAAGGCAGGATTTTCTTCTTGAGTCAAGGCCTTCGGGACGAAGAAAGGATGGATGGTCTAGACAGAAATACCCCGAGCCCGAGGGAGGTCCCTTCTAAATGTGCCAGCTTCTCAAGGCAAGTGGGGGACAACGATGGGCCACTGGCACTTCCAAACAGAGGAGGGTCTCCACCCCGCCTCGGGCAGCAGCACCTGGCCAGGCACCAGGTGAGGTGCCTTCCAGACCTAATGGGTTGAAGGAACGACCCTGGGTTCCTGGACCCCAGTCGTCAATCCTCCCGTCTGTGCAGCAGGGGACCCCCGACCCCGTGGCCCAGGCTGCTGTCTGCCCCGCTTCCCTGGTAGGACCCCCGCCTGCTCCTCCTCCGGGTCCGGTGGGGGTGCCTGCGACGGGCGGGTGGATGCTCTCCTCTCCCTCGCCTTCTGCGCTCGGGGTCTGTGCGGCTCCGGGCTCCGAGCAGCGGGAGGTGAGATTGAAGCCGGCAGAGTGCGAAGCCACTAGCCCTCTGGTCCCCGACGCGGCCCCGCTGTCTCTCTCTCTCCATCAGAAGCAGCCCTGCCGACGGGAGCCCTGTGGGCTGGCAGGCACCAGGCTCTGACTGCTCCCTGAGATCAGGACAGAAACACACCCCGGGCCAGCAGGGACCACGGGGACCCCACTTCTTAGCTGCTTTCAACCCAAATGACCTCACTGGAGGAAGATCTGTGGCCGGCCCGGCTTCCGGAGGACCCTCCCTTCCAGGAGAACAGACCCCTAGTGGACCCGGTTAACCTAGTGAGGGTCTTTGTCATGAGGAGGACGGCCTCCCACGGGGAAAGAGGAGCCTGGGTTCCGGTCCAGCCCCAACACTTCCTCGCTGTGCGTTCCTCAGGGGACCAGTCACGCCCCTGAGACTCTGTCTCCCCATCTACAGGTCCATGGTGCTCAGGCTCAGAGGCTGTGGGGCAGGTGAGGGGGCAGTAGACTGAGGTGTCACGTCCAACCCCTGGCTTGGCCAGATGTTTTTATCTGACAGGATTTCACCTGAAGAAAAGGCCTACAGCTTGGATCTTCTTTAACTGTCGGGTAAGAGGACCTGTAAGGTCTGCGCGAACTCACACCTTTGCCTTCAGCGTAACAACGAACGTTGGAAGGGACAGCCCGTCAGTCATCAGTCACCATTTGGGCAGGACTGTCAGGGCCCAGGTGAGGCAGCGGGGTCGCAGGGGCAGAGAAAGGAGACGCCAAGGACACGCAGGACCTGATGTCCAGCCAGCGGACATCAGACTCACAACATGCAGCACCACACACACACACTCACACAATCACACACACTCACAATACACACTCTCACCTCACACATACACTCACTCACACACAAGCACACACTCACAAATCACACACACTTACACACACAAGCACACACTCACGAATCACGCACACACTCACAAATCACACACACAAGCACACACACACATGCAATCACAATCACACATAATCACACACAATTACACACTCTCACATACCCACACATTCACAATTACACACACATACACGCACATGCACACGCAATCACACATAATCACACACCCTCACACACACTCAGTCACACACACCCTCACACACACACACAATCACACACCCTCACACACAATCACACACCCTCACACACACACACCCTCTCACACACACACCCTCACACCCTCACACACAATCACACACCCTCACACACACCCTCACACACACACACTCACATGCAGGAACACGGGGCCTAGGTCATCTTGTCTGGAGGCTGCCTGAGCACCTGCCGGATCGCAGTCGGCGCCGCAGGAGCTCGCTCACCCGCTGCGACACCCCTCACCTGCGCAGGGATGTGGGCTTAGACACCTTCCAAATCTCCAGAGCCAGGTTCAGTGAGCAGTCGAAATGAACTTCTCTGGACCTCCCAGCAACAGAGGACACCTGAGCCAGTGATCACCTAGTGCCTAACATATCGCTCAGGTATAATAAAATAATCCTCATCACGTGTTGCCACAGAGCATCGCGAGCGCTTAAGAAGTGATTTTTCAAATCCCCGTCTCCTTTGATTTTCATAAAAATCACAATGAGGTCATCAGGGCAAAATGTGTGACCCCACAAGAGAGGACAAGGACCTGAGGCACAGCACTTTGAACGGTGACAGCCCCTGTCCTAGCGTCAGTCCAGTCCCCTTCGCGCCTCAAGGAGATCCACTGGGAGCAAGAGGAGGAGCTCGAACCCCGAGTGACAGAGCCCGGGACACCTGCCGGCTGCTCCCGTGGGGCCCCTCGTGCCCTCGCCCCAAACCACACTCACCCAGACGTGGGTCACGGAAGGGCCATGTTCCCGGACACGTCCCACTCAGCCCGGTCAGCTCAGGATGCTCGGTGACAGCGATCCGGATGGTTCCGAGCCTACCGCGTGGCCAGTGCCAAGGGCACTTGATGTCCTGTGTCCTCTAGCTAACTGGGCCAAGTGTCGCTGCGCCGGTGCCTGGGGCCGCGCCGCAGCCGCGCCTGGCAAGCTGACCACGGCTCCCAGAGCCAAACTTGGCCTTGGTCTCTGCACGCAGCCCAGTCGGCCAGGAGCTGGCTTCCAGCTGACCTTTCAACCCCCGTCCCTCTGTACAGACATACGGTCCAGGAATAGCAGTCACGCTCACACGGTCATGACACAGATTTACCGGCCAGCTGTGGCTGCATGGCCCGGAGTGTGGTGGCACAAGCCGCGCCGGAGAGACGGGTGCGTGCCCACTCCCCGCCCACAGCCGCGTCCCGGCCCATCGCCACGCCGGGTGCCTCTCCGTGGGAGCGACGGCTGCTCTGAAAGACCTGGCGTTCGCTCGGTTTGGCCTCTTTCCTGCCCCACCGGGACTGCTATGACGTCAGGAGCTCAGCCTCACTTTTCAGAGCTTGCCCCTGAACCCAGGGCAGCCTCGAGGGACGCCTGAGCACGGGAGGTCCTCACAAACAGGCTGTGATGGGGGAATCCCCGTTCGCGACATGTTCCTTTGTCCCAGAGCCTCAGCCTTTCTGTCTCCAACTCACTGCTCTGAACTGCTCCCCGCAATCACCCACACGGAAGGAAATCTGAACCCACGAACCCCTGTGGGCCCTGCATTCTGAAGGGCGGGGTGGCCCAGCCCCACAGTTATGGGGGCGACGATGGCATCGATACATGTCCATCCCCACTGCCGTCCTGCCCCGGCTCCTCTGACTGGTCACACGCCCTCTTGGATCCCAGGATGGGGGGCTCACAGGTCACTTTCCTACGGTCCCTTTGACCCTACACCACCTGCAACAGCACCTGGGACACTGCTTTGCAGTCACCTGTGTGATGCGGCAGGTCCCGCGAGACCCCGGGGCACCGATTCACTCCTGATTCTTCGCATCCTGCACACTCTTCATCGTAGGACCCCCTGCAACAGCGCAGCCTGTCTTCTGCCCTCCAGAGTCAGCCACGTGGGCTCCGTGGCCCGTGGGTGCTTGTGGAGCTGACGTGAGCAGAGGCTTCCTGCTCCCCCCCGGTTCTGCCTGGGCTTCGGCACCCCTGGGATGCCACAGGGAAGCTACCCCGGGCAGCTGCTGCTGCTTGACCCGGGCCCCAGGGGCAGCGTGGGCCCAGCCCCCGCCCAGCCCGGCCCCCGCCATCAGCACAGCCGTGCCAGCCGGGCAGAGACTTGGGGGTGAGGAAAACCGTGGGCGTGGCCTTGTGACATCGGACACACGGGCGTGGCTGTTCCACGGCATCATTACGCGAGAACAGACCACCAGGAGCTGACATTCCCTGTGACCTTGGAAGGAGGAAGTGAAGGGCGCCAGGCCACCCTCGAGGTGCCCCAGAGAGACAACGCTGGGTCCACCGTGCACACACCCGGACACGAGGCCCCTCGGTCCTCCCTCGGCCTTGCCGGAGGACACACAAGCGGGGGCCAGCAGGGGGACCACTGCAGAGACGGCCCAGGCCCCTTGGCAGCCCGCGGCCGGCACCTGGTGACCGTTGAAGAGGCACCTACCTGGGAGCTGGGCGGGGCGACCAGGCTGGCCCCCGGAGGACCTGCCAGCGCTCCTGAGGGCGGGCCCATGGCAGATGCGATGACGCGGTACGGAGAGCCCAGGGCGTTGAGGGGGGTCCCCGCCGCACTCAGGGTCCGCGGAGCGCTCACGGGGGTGTCCGTGTAGCTGGGGTGGCTGTCCATGGGCTTCCCTGTGGACAAGGCCGCCGGCGGGCTCATGGACGTGGAGCCAGAGTGGCCGGGGGAGCCTGTGGGGAGAAGAGCACAGGTGAGGAGCCTGGGTGCACAGGCAGGCTCCGTGGGGACAGGCCCCCCGGTGGTCTCCTGTTCCTTCCTTTCCCTCCGGCCACACCTGACACCTGTGAGCCAACGTGCTCGGGGCCACCCAGCCAGCAGAACCAGGGCAAGCGCAGGACACAGAGGGGAGGGACACACACTCGCTGACGGTTTAGTTCTCTGGTCCCCGCCTGAAATCCACCTTCGACTGCATCAGACCAGCCAGGGCCACGGGGGCACCGCCCACAAGTCCCCAGGTCTGGGCAACTGCGGCCTGAGCCGGCCAACCAGGGAGGACGGTCCACACCAACCCCCAGGTGGGGGTGGGCTGCTCCCGAATCCCCTGAATTGTCCAGAACCCCCAAGTCCTGCTGCTGAGCAGGGGGGCCAGGGGAGAGCGCCTCCCGGTGGTCACAAACGGTCACTCAGGGGCCAGGTGCGGGGGATTCGGAGCGACAAGAACACAGCCCCCCCACACACACACCTCTGGCAGCCACCAAACTGCTCTGTCTCTGAGCTCGGGTTTTGCTGTTTGTTTTAGATTCCACGTCTAAGTGAGATCATTTGCGTTTCTCCGCCTGACTGATTTCATTCGTGCAATGTAACGTCCTCAAGGGTCATCCGCGTATCGCGAATGGTGGGGTTTCCCGTTCACGGCGAGTCCTGCCCCATGTGTACATGGACCACATCGTATCCGTTCAGCCATCGACGGACCTGAGGCTGCTCGCCCGTCCCGGCTGCCGGATGGCGCCACAGTGAACACGGGGTGCAGGCGTGTATTTGCGTGAGTTTTCCCCGCGGATCTCTTCGTAAACACACAGACACACACACACCCCGGAAGTGTCGGCGTGGAGTTTCTCTCGCACACCTGCTCACTGAGCCGAGGTCTCGCTGTGGAGAGGTCAGTCAGTCACTCCCACACCCGAGAACGCAGTGACCCTCGGTCACCCTGCCTAGGGAGCTTCCGTCTATCGGGGACAATGGTCTCGTAAAGGGGTGAATCCCCAGCACCATGTCCCGCACCCCACAGGGGGGAGGAACCGCGTGCTGGGGGCAGCGCAGGGGTTCAGACAAACAGGTCACACGCGGGTTATGTGGCCAGCACAGCACCTGGAAGTCTCCACGTGTCCCCTCGCTTTATCCCGCGAGGATCATTTCAGCCTTTCACAGATGAGAGAGGTCGGGCCTGGACTCACCCCAACGCTGCTCCGTCTCCGGGGTGACTGCCCCCACCTCTGCAGTCTCCCGAGCTCTTCGTCCTTCAAGGTCTAACTCAAGGGCACCTCCCCCTGGAAGCCGTCCCTGGTTTTCCTGCTCTGGTGTGATGCTTTTTTCTACGTCACCATCCGTTTAGTCCTGTCTCTTCCACCAGGGAAGAGGGGGAGCGGGTGCGGAGGGGAGGTGTCGTTTCTGTTCGCCCCCTGGAAGCACAGCACCCGGCGATGCCTGGGGCGTAAGTGCGGGGCCCAGATTCAGACCCCTGGTCTGAAGCCCTCGCTCTCTCCTGGGCCGTCAAGGGCTGAAGAGATGGTCTGAAGGGCCCTGAGTCTCCATGTGCAAGACTCAGTCCTGAGGTGATCTCAAGGAAGGTTCATCTGGGCGGGTGGGGGGCGGGCAGCTCCCAGGAACCCGAGCCGGAAAAACCCAACATCTTCCCAGACGGCCACTGACGAAGGAATCCTTACAGGCTCCTCTGGGGCCCCTGAAGAGGCCGGCGTGCCCCCCGAGCCCGGCACTGAGTCCGCGTGGCATCGAGGGCGAGGCACCGGGAAGTCCTCTGGGACCCAGCGGCACCCCGCAGCCACGCCCCCCGCTTTCCCAGCACAGTGCGAGGTGCCCTGCAGCCCTCCTTCCGGTGGGCCCCGGGGCCTCGGGAACCACGCCACTCCTCGGGGCCCCCGCTGATGCCCGCGCGTGACCCCGGACCCCGAGCTGCAGGACAGAGACTACGCCCACTCACCACCACCTGGGAGTCCCCGGCGTGTGCGGCCCGGGCCCCCAGTGGGAGGGATGCTGAGTAGCAGCTTCGCTGGTGTGAAGGCAGACTTGTCAAAAGCATGAATAAGTCTACATTTATGTTTAGCATTTCCCTCTGTTTATAGCACGTGACCGGGCTTCCGTGTTTGTACAGAATTATCTTCCGAAAAATAGCTATTTAAGGTTTTTGGGTTTTTTAAAGTAAATTAATGAAACGTTGCACCCAATAGACAGGGATGCTCAATGTGTAGTATGTCATGAAATTGGTCTGCAAAAGAATGAAATTTAAGAAACATGGACCAGCCTGGCCAGTGTGGCTCAGTGGATTGAGCATCGTCCCAGGGACTGAGAGGTCCCAGTTCGATTCCCGGTCGGGGCACATGCCCGGGGTTTTGGGCTCGATCCCCAGCGGGGGGCATGCAGGAGGCGGCTGGTCAAAGTCTCTCTCTCTCATCGATGTTTCTTTCTCTCCCTCCCATCCTCTCGGAAACAGGGACCAGCACACACTTTGGAGAACACGTAAGTTGTTTCGAGAGTAAAATGAGAAGATGCAGGAGAGATCTGAAATTTAAAGTACATTGTCTTTATTATCACACAAATGCACCTTGGTTCTCGGCCCCCTCGATGCCCCGGACGTTCTCAGGCATGAAGAGCTTTGCGCTTAGAAAAGGTGGAAGCCGAAGACTTGGTGAGCAGCGGACGGTCCGGCCACTGTCACGAGCGCTCGCTGTCCGTGACATTTCAGAGCCTCTCACGCTCATGCCTGCCCTCTGGCCACGCGGGAGCCACAGCCAGTTCCTGGAGGCGCCCTAACTGCCGGGGGCCTGGTCTGTGGTTCAAACCCGCAGCCAAGCTTCACTCTGCGGCTTCTCTCTGGCCCCACAGCCTGGTCTGGGAGGCTCAGGTCTCCTCAGCCGCCTCCTGGCCCGTGCCCTCTGGGTCCCTCATGCCCACTATGGGCGCCGGGCAGCGCCCCGTCCTGTGCCCACACAGTCCCTCCTGCTCACTCAGGAACAGACCTGTTCATAGAAACAGACCTGTCCCGCACCGGGCTCAGCGTCGGCCGCAGACCGAAAGGTTGTGTGGGAAGGGGCCAATCGACATTTCTCGTCCTCCCTCTCTCTCCCTTCCTCCCTTCCACACTCTAAAAATCAGTGGGAAGATATCCTCGGGTGAGGATTAACCAAAAAAAACACAAATCTGAAGGGCTGGTGGGCTCTCTCAGGAGCTCTGCTTCCCTTCGGGGATGCTCCATGTTCCCGGGCCTCCTCCGCGCTCCCGGGAGGACCTGCCACCCTGTCCCCTGAACACAGAGGCCTCGGCAGCCACAGGAAGCAAACTCGGGCGGCGGTCTGCGAGGGGCTGAGTCTAGGCACGAGCCCAGGCGTCACCTGGACCACGTCGGACCTTCGGGTGCCACCGGAACCACAGCTGCGGCAGGTCCCCGAGGGCCCCTCGGCTCCGAGGCAGCCCACGGGGAGATCGAGCTCCGAAGTCTCACGCGGCGGGGTGGACTTGACCCGGTTTCCTCTCCGGTGAGTGGAGATAACGCGCCCAGGGCCCCTAGCAGCAGCTGGAATTACTTACTAAACTGTAAAGGGTGGGGGTGGGGGCATCTGGCCCGAATGCCACCGCAGTTTATGTGCCTACAGGACTCAGCCCATGCCAGGCCCACAGTAAATGCTCGTGAAGGGTGGTCCTCGCCATACACTGGTGGGCACACACCGTGTTTGTGGCACGGAATTCCCCGAGTTGTTAGTAAACAGTCCTTGTCCTGGGCCCAGAGTGCCTCTCCATCACCCCAGCCACCCCGGCCTCTCCCCTAGGACCCCCTGGGGCCCCGGGGTCCCCTCATGATCCGGCCAGGCCCAGAGGTGCTCCCTGTGACTTCCGTCTGAATGCCTGCTGCCCCACTGGCTGCCGCCTATTTTTAATGTCACCCCCTTGCTGCTAAGTCACCACTCTGGTGCCCAGCACTGTGCCTGGAGCATGGCAGGTCACTGACTAAGCCACGAGGGGGGTCCTCTTTGGCTAATTAACGTGCGTGACCATAGAGTTCATCAGCAGAAAGTATTTGCATGCGAAATCGGCGTCTCTGATGTTGACCCAAACCCCAAACCTCTGAAATTTCCGAACAAGAAACCGTGCGTGTGCTGAAGGGGGACTTACTGGGAAAGAGCTGCTGGGTACTTGGAACTACAGAAGTCTGACCGAGGTGAGGAAGTTGCCTAGCAACCTGGCCTCCACCAATAGAAGCAAAATGTCACCCCCGGGTCTTTCTGATTGGAGCAAATGGCCTGGTTGTGGTGCGGGGCAGAGAGTTTGCTGTCCCATTAACAGCCCCGCTCAGGATGGAAACTTGGGAAGACTCGCTGAGGACGGTTAACAGACCCACCCCCTGGGGAAGGGGCAGAGGTCAACACTGGCTATTTCTGAGGGTCAGCACCTCTCATCTGAAGGCAGGGAGCATCGGAGGCCCTTCCCACGTGGGCACGATCACACACCCAGGTCCACAGCCTTTGCTCCAACGCGGGGGTGTGACCCACAAGCCCAGAACCGCAGAATATCCGCACACCCTTCCCCGGCTTCCCCATCCTGGCTTGTGATTTACGGACCCTGCTCAGCGAGGTGGGCTGGGGCCTGCCGCTGCAGGGTGACTTGGATGTCACCCTGCACTGAGGGAGAACAGGGGCAGGTACATTCGGTGAGCAGTCACCATGCGCCGGACACGGTTCTAATCCCGGTACGTATATTGACACACTTTGCACTGCAGACCTGAGGCTGGGACTCTCCTCGCTCGTGAACAAATGCAAAAACCGGGTGACCGAGAAATTAAGTGGCCTGCTCCAGGGAGCGTGCCCGTCAACGCTACAGGTGGTGTTTGCATCCTGGGCAGGCAGCGGCCGCGGGCTCCGATCCCAGCCCCGCCGTGTGCTGACTGTTCAGCACTCATTCACAGCTTTTTAAAAGATCTGCCGAAGACATGTCTTCTGAG